TGACTTTTCCCAATGACGTTATTTGTTATTTATAGACTTCAGCAGAGTAAAGCAGTCCAATAAATTTATTGGGTGTGGTCTAGTTCAAGTGAGATCCGTATTTCTGCTTGATGTTTCATCTTCATCAGCCAGTTTCATCAATATACGCAGTCTTCAGCTGAAAGAGTATGGACCAAAATAATACTACCAGCAGCAAATCTCCTACAACATGATGCTGCAATCCTAAACAATACATTATACCACCTTTTATTTGCTATTGCCATTCTGTTTGTCATCAGCATTGAACCATCTTTCTGCCTCTCTGGGATCCAGAGGGCCTCTCCTCTAACCACTAGGCCAACAATCCCCAATGATGATCATCATAATAATGATCAAATATCAGTAGGTGCACTAGGGCTGGGCGATATGACCTCAAATCAATATCACAATAAATTAGGTAGTTTTACCTCAATAACAATAAATGCACCATAAATGCTCCGGCTCCTCTATCTGAAAATACTGGCCCCTGCAGGAACTGCAACAGACCTATTTTTCATTTATTTATTGACCAAATCACATTACATATTACTTTCAATGAAATATAAAAGTCTTGTAACCATTCAAGTTTAAAGATTCAACAATGTCTCATTGAACAGGAGAAAAATTGTACCTCTCTCGCAAAAACGTTCGTGCAAAGGTAATGGAGCGTTTTGCACATCTTCAAACCCAACAGCGTGGCTGTGCTCTAGACGGTGAAGGTTGGATGTGTTACTTTGGGTCGTCCAGACACTTTTCAGACAAAATGTGCGTTTCGTGTTCTTTTGCTCATTATCTATTACGTAATTTTGGTGCCACTGAACTGTATGTACAGTGATAACAATGTGCATCGTTTAAACTCTTTAAAACTTTTTTTTTCATGGAAATTCCTCAGTTGCAATAATTTTTATCTCAAAACGAGCAGAATGTCAACATAGTTTTGCCCACATTTCACTTTCAGCAGGTATCAGAAAATGTCCTCCAAATGTCCATGAGTACATTTGCAAACTGCTATTTGGCTTTTTGAAATAAGTGCTTCATTCTTCACAAGCAGCTTCTTTTGCTCTTAGTTTAATATTAAAGTTCACACCAATGGGCCATTCTCCTTTGTAAATGCTTACCAAGCTTTTATGATTTTCATGATAGCCTAATTTGTTGTTAAGATAATTTTGACAACTTTAGGCATCTGGCCTTAAAATCATCAAAAACTCTAAAAGATCTGTTTAACTTTGCATTTAGGTTATAGTAGAAATTAAGCAAATCCTATTTGACCTTAAAACAGGGAAGTTTGTCTTATAAACAGACTGTTTTTTTTATTTTCTTTTAATATGGGAAGATTGAAGTGTAGGTGTGCCACAAAGAGTTAATATGACTTCTATGGAAAATCAGTGAGGGTCAAATCAATCCACATTAACTGTGAAATGGAAAAGACTTTTATGCTGCGTTTCTTTTTCTGCTTCATCTTCAAAAAATTCAAGCCCAGCCACACATTTTCTTTAAAAGCTTGAATTAATTGTTTATTGCAAATATAACATTTTAATGAAGCAAATCAGTTAGTCTATTAAGTATCAGGTTGAGAACTAATCTCTCCCCTTTGCTGTTCATATATTTCTGTAACAACTGTTTAGGTTATAGAATTAGGCCTTCTCTCACTTGACACACTATTTGTCGGTTCATAACCTCCTGTCATTTGGCATCTGCTTCGACAGCTAAATGTGGGTTTATGACTCAAATGAAAAAATGTACAACAGCGTTAGTTTGCTCAGAGTTGTTATGCTGCGATCAAGGGTCATTATCTGTTATGATTTATCAGCCAGTTGGTAAAAAGGGGACGAGAAAACCGGCACGGCTGAGTTTGAGTTTACCTTACACTTGATCCTTTCAATTTGTTTTTTTTCTTCCATTATTTTAGAAATTGCCTCACTGAAAGGGAAAAAAACATAATGTGCAATAGTTAAATTAAATGGTTTGTTTACAGGAATACAATCAAGCTGAGATGAAATTGCAAGGCGTGAAATAAAATTGTTTTTAAATAAATGTTTAACTAATTTACATACAATTTTGTTAATAACAAACGCTATATTTAATTTATTTGAAATGTAGCAAGAATATTTTAAAGGTTAGATGCTTTGATGCACAGAGGATTGCATTATTTTCCTTAATTTTCCCTTGAATGAGAAACTTCCAGCCTTATCGTGCACTTTTTGGGTTTACTTTTGTAATATTTATCTGCTGATTTAGGCTGTGTTCACACCTACCATGTTTGGTCAGCTTTTAAGGCGCCTAGGCATCTACTATGATAATTTGACCAGTTTCTACGCCTTGTTGCTCACTTTGGCTGCATACAAAGACTACAGTGGTTTACAGTGGCTGATACTGGAAACTTGTTTCACATCCTGTATTTATGAGCACATTTGAAGTCAGGTCTTCTAGAAAGGAAGATAGAAATAAAACATATTTAAAAATAAGTTTGTCATTTTTATTTTGTTTACGTTAAACAATGGGGAGAAAATAAGGTATATTAACTTGGTATTTTTTTAGAGAGAGTAATTAACCTTTTAGATTAATTAAGTGATTTTTAATTGAATTGACCCTTAAAGATGCTTAAAGAATTGGAGCATTGAAAATTGCCCGTCAGCCGTGTGTTTTTGTTCCAGTGTTTCAGGTTGTCTAGTTTGCTTCCAAATGAAATCTAGAGTTTTTTACTTCTGGCGTTAGTACGAACCGGCCTCAAAACGACCTAACTGCAAATTAAAAGTAAAAAGTGCTTTTGGACTAATAAGCCACTGGCAGAAAATTTAGTACTGAAATCCTATAAAGCCACCATCTGTTGGTTAGCAATGCTGCTGCCGACATCTAGCAGTTCAGAAGGGATTTTCTGCTTGACCTTGTATCTTTGATTGATTGAATGATTGACTTTATTGATCTCACAGTTGAGAAATATACTTGTTACATTAGCTCAAATAGTCAAATGAGAAGAATAAGATGCCAAAGGAGGAAAAAGATGCATAGGACACATACCTTGTGTCCACATATGACAGGATTATTGCACAGGGTGTCTACATGGTTATTTATATAGACAGATTTTAAATGTTTTTGTATAAAGAGATTTGGACTGGAAACAGATGGCTTATTAGCCTCTTTAGTGCAGGTCTAGTTTATAAAATGAGAAACTGTTAGCTGATTGGTTAGTCTACCTGCTATCAGATCAGCACATCCCTGTTTTGGATGTTTTGATGTAAAAAAGAAACTGGTTCAATATTTTTAAAGTCATTGTTGGTGGGAACTGTACTGAAAATCATTAGACAAATTTGATAACTTAGGAAATTTAGAAAGTTTTTATTTATTTATTTTTTACTTAAATATGCTTTGAATCTTTCTCTTCATAAAAGTACACTACAGACATATGGAAGCCTAAAGGAACAATAAACAAGTTATTAACATATTACCTGAATGTAACATCCATCCATCCATCTTCTATTATTCCGTCAGGGTAGTGGAGCCGGTGACTCTCTCCGGCGGTCTATAGGAGAGAGAGAGACAGGGTACACATTAGATGGGTCGCGAGTCTATCGCAGGGCAACACAGCGACACACAACCATGTGCACACACACTCCCACAAAACGTCAATTTAGAGAAGCCAGGTAACCTAACAGTCATGTTTTTGGACTGTGGGAGAAGCTGGAGTACCCAGAGAGAACCCATGCATGCACAGGAATGCAAACTCCATACAAAGATCTCGGGATAGATTCCTGGTCCAGAACCTTTTTTCTGCAAGGCAACAGTTCTACAAACTACCCCACTGAGCAGCCCCAAGCACGTTATTATTGATTAAGAATAAATGTCTTTAAATATGAGATGGTTAGATATTGCATTGTTAGAAATGCAACAGTATTTTACCTAGATTATCACACAGATCTATAAGTTAATTTCATCTCTACTATTCAAAGCTATTGAGCTTTGCTGGCATAGCTCTTGTCAGTGTAACTAATCAGAACTTGACCTACTCTGTGCATTAACCAATCAAAATCTCCTGACTCATATATAATTTTTATTATTATTACCGTACTACCTGTTGTGTAATAAGCTCAGCAGCTGTCAAGCAAATATATCTGCGGTTCCTTTTTCGTCTTATTTACATTATATCATAGGTAATACTTATTAATTTATTGTGACAATATGGATCCTGTTATGGCTTTGTTTTATTTGCCTTCTTTTTAATATCATTTTTTATCATTGTTTCTATCACAACATAACCAGAATCTACTAGTGATTATGTTACTTAAAGGATGCCAAATTTAAATGTCAACGCCATATTTTTTATATTGGCAAAGATAAATAAATGTTGATCAGCTAGTAGCCAAACAAATTATCTGGTAGCTGTTCAATTGTCAAATTTAATATTTGCTTTTAAACTGTATACATTTCTTGTTTTATAAACTTCAAATTCAGCATTTTATTGTACTTAACATTTTACTGTAAGCTTTTAGGTACTTTTTTAAAGAGTTCAGTAAAAGTTCAAAAAAATATCCACTGGACTTGGTTTCCAATATTTGAAGACATTTCGCCACCTCTCCAGGAAACTTTCTCAATTCAAATATCTGAAACCTGTCTATGATTCTGAAGGTCGGTCATTAAAGGGGGGGGTAGTCTGGTCTGACTGACCTTCAGAATCATAGACAGGTTTCAGATATTACAGGCTGACAATGGAACTAAACGACCCACTCATCGGTTACCATTTGCATGTTTCCAAGCAATACAAGGCCTTGTCTATATAAGACTCAAACTCACTGCGGATCCAGACATTTGAATTAAGAAAGCTTCCTGGAGAGGTGGCGAAACGTCTTCAAATCTTGGAAACCAAGATTTGACCTGGATGACTGAGAATCTTCATCAGCATATAGTTAAAGAGCTGGCAGATTTTTGTTTCTCAGTTGCTTACAAACCTGAGTTTTTCTACATCTCTTTTTTTCTTTTTATGTTAGACTTGTGATCAAGATGACGACGAGGTGGAGATTGCTGTGGACAACGCAGCCTTCATGGACGAGTTCTTCTCTCAGGTCGGATTTCTGGTTCATGATGGGTGGTGTTCAGAGACATAGCAGCTGTTTTTCTTTTTGGTAAAGATAATACCTAAGAGCTGCTATTTTTTTCTGACTTGTCTGTTTCCAGATCGAGGACATCAGGAACAGCATTGATAAAATTGACCAGAATGTGGCTGAAGTCAAAAAGCTTTACTCTGTCATCCTGTCTGCTCCCACCTCAGATCAGAGTGAGACATCCCACCCAAAAAACTGCTTTGTTTAATTTTTTTCAGCCAATATTTCCTAGCTGAACCTCATTCGCAAGGATCAGTTTATTGTTGTTTTTCTTCATCTTTCTGCTTATTCTAAATTAAATTCTATTACAATCTGAGCAGAAAACCCATGCTAAGAGAAACAATGTGAATTGGTTAATAAAATGCCAAGCATATTCTCTTTTCTTGCATTAAACGGTGTCCTTTTCCATACAAATATTCCTTGTTAAGGCTAAATGATAAATTTTTGTGTGTTGTTTGACTTCAGAAACACAAGATGACTTGGAAGCAATCACCAATGACATAAAGAAGATGGCCAACAATGCAAGAAACAAACTAAAGAGTAAGACCAGCCTTAAAATTAAGCACATTTTCTCTGTGAAAGTGATTAAAAATATCTTAAAATTTTATTAACATTTTTATTTATGCCATTTATTTAAGTTAAATCATATATTAGAAAGTTTCACTGTTTTCTAGCCATCGAGAGAAATCTGGAGTCGGAACAGCAGGAGAGGGTGTCTGCAGATATGAGGATACGTAAATCACAGGTAAGTTATGTTCAGGTAATGTCTTAAAATGAGGCCCCTTGTTTGGTTTGATGGATTTTACTGTCCTCAAATAGTTTTTACAGCTTTTAATTGGTTTTATTATGAGCTTTTTAATAAAAGTAGTTGGTCTGATATGAGTTATTTGGTGGAAATGTTTCAGCCGTTTCCAGGATCTCCAGATTTTGTGATAATAATTGACAACTCTTCTGTTCCCAGCATGCAGTTCTGTCCAGGAAGTTTGTGGAGGTCATGACAAAGTATAATGAAGCTCAGGTGGACTTCAGGGAGAGGAGTAAAGGACGTATTCAGAGACAACTGGAGATAAGTATGTTACATTTACATTCACAGAATAAAATCCTACAGCTATCCCATAACAATTTTTGATTTTCTCTTTGTTTTATTCAGCTGGAAAAGCTACAACAGATGAAGAGCTGGAGGAGATGTTGGAGAGTGGAAACGCTGCTGTCTTCACTGCTGGGGTTAGTGTTTGCTGTGTGTCTAAACCAGCATCTATTGCTTCTATAACACCTCTCTGCTGTTACCTAGATTTTCTCTTTATAAAAACAAAAAACGTTTTATCTCCTAATGAGTCACATTTTAGATTCATCTTATCTGTCCTTTTCTCAAAATAGTCTTTTTCAGAACAGAGCTCTAATCCATCTATCAGGGAGCAGGAAGGACATTAAATATACTTAAAATGACTTCTTAACAAAATTATAAATATAAAAAGCTCTAACTAGCTTTATCCACTAGAATTAAGTCTGATTTTTTAGGGGAGCCATGCAGTTCCTGTCATGAAAGATGTTGTTTTACATATTTAATAAGCAAAATATAACGGTTCAATACAAAAATGGCTTCTGGGAGAACAAATGAAAAAATTGCAATAAAGAAATCTTGTTACTGGGAGTATTGAATGCAGCATGTGTCACTGATAAAATAAGAACACCCTGCAGTGAAGCTTGTGTCCAAGCTGAGCTCATGGTGATAAGGAGGAGGCTGTTTTTGGTACAACTGAGGAAGAATTTCTTGCTCAAGGACAGAAAGTTCAACTTAGGATTCCAGATTTGCACAGACAGGAACAAACCACACCTAAATAAATTGTTACAACGCAAAAACACACCTAAAGTTCTCAGTAATTCATATGTAACTATGAATTTAAAAACCTCTCTAAGATTTGTAATTGCATTATATTTAGTACTTTATTTTGACAAAGTGGTTCCATTAATAACAGGAAAAGGTCAGTTTAGTAACCAAGCCTGAACCATAATATTGATAGAAGCACTTTTAGAACAAGGTTTGCCAGATTGCTTTAATATGAGCAAAATGTGAAAGATGCAGGAAATACATACAAGATGTTTAAAGGCATTACAAATAGTACAATAAAATTAAAACCAAGTTAAAATGGCTCACCTTATGTGAAAGCCAAGGAACAATGATTTAAAACAAGACTTAAAAGCAGAGAAGTAGTCTGTTGATGCGCAGTAGCCGTGAGCATTTTATAGTTTTGCTGCTGCAAAAGCTTTCTCAGCCTTTAAAAGCATGCTGCTCTTCGGAGTGAGTTGGTACAGAGCAATTAAAGTTTAACAATGTTTAACAAATACAGTGCAGCATGTTGTTCTTTTTTATAATTGACAAAATGACCTGCCATATTACAGATAAGGACTTAAACATTATAAGTATCTAATAAATGGATTAACTCTTATAAAACCTACAGCTCACAATAAGATTAAGAACCACAGTATTATCTCTTTAACTTAATTTTCAGTTTGACTCATTGTGATGATTTTAGTTATATTTTTTCCTTTACCTTTCATTTAAATTGACTGAAATACATTTTTTTGTGCATCTCACCTAGCATCTTCCAACATCAGTTGTTTTCACTGCAGAGCAGGAGCTGTTTCCGTCTCAGAATAATTTTACTACAGTTCTGTGGTTTAGTTGGACATTTGTTCCAAAATAATTTTATTGAAAGATAAGATTATTAAGAAATTATTTGCTTTGAACAATTAATTTCAACCTCACCTTCATGTAAAATATGGCAGAGTTTGATGGAGGTGTGGCCCTGACCTTCATTAATAATCATTAGCATTTAATGAAAGAAGTTATTAAGATATCTAATTATTAAAAATTGCAGAAGGGCTAAACTGGAAATATTGGGAGACTTTTTTCCAGATATGTGCCTTTAGAAAAACCAAACATGTATTTGTAATGATGAGTAGATGTTCGTATTTTGTGAGTCTGTTTGGTGAAAGCTACCTGCTGGTCTTTGCAGATTGTGGACTCTGGAATCTCCAAACAAGCCCTGAGTGAGATTGAATCCAGGCATAAAGACATCGTCCGTCTGGAAAGCAGCATCAAGGAGCTGCATGATATGTTTGTAGACATCGCCATGCTGGTGGAGAGCCAGGTAGACTCCTCTGCTTTCACCTGCTTATTGGTTTATTCAGATCCATTCTTCATTTCGTTCCATCTTTACTCTGCCTCAGTCCTGACTCTATCTGATTGTTTTGTTCTGATGTTTTCCACATCCTGACTCTGTTCTGTGACTGTCATTCTACATCTACTGTCTGTTTTTTCCAGCTCCATGCTTCTCTTGTACCTGTTCTCTTCCACCGCCACCTTCATCTCCTTCCCATAATGGAACCTTAATAAATATTGTAAGATATTAACTAAGCGCCATTGCTGACACTGTATTTAGTAGACATGTAGCAACTGTAAGATGAAAAAACTAGAGTATGACCACCTCTTTGTTGCTGCTTGCACCATCATGCTCTCTGAGGGAAAGGGTTCTCTGAGGTAAGAATCTCTGTCTTGCTTTCTGTTTATGTTGTGTAACTTTTTTTTTTCTAGGTTTGGAAATTGAAGAGATTTTTCCCACAAAGAAATGCGAGACAAACATAAACATTAACAAACATAAAGCTTAATTTTCGAAAGATTTAGGGAATTAACAAAATGGTTAAAGCTCCTTTATTGAAGCTGCTTTACCTGATATAAACATTTACAATGAAGAACAATTGAATAATCCAGATATGTAGCTGTATTCAGAGATATATCTGGACATTTTGGGAACTGAGGGAAATGTCAACAGCATTGAGTCACTTACTAAACCTTCTCCCCAAACAAAACATGCAATGGCACGGAAATTGATTTGATAAAGTTGTTAATTTTGCATGAATCCCTTATGCTTATCATGCATATAGCAATAGTAAAAAATGTGTAAAAGATTGTGTAAAATTACACTTAGGTTCATCTAGCTCAGTGTTACTGTTTTCCCTTTGCAGACTGGCAGATTTGCGAATGGGGATACATCGAATTATCATTTTGTGAGAAATCATACCAGTTAATATTAGTAAAATTTATTGAAAATATGAAAAATCATAACTTTTAAGTAGTGGCTTTAGAAAATGTAGAATTAATAATAATTAATTATATGGAAACAGCTCTCTGATGTTCATGAGTCTCTGTCTCTAGAAGTCATTAGCTATTGATGGGGTGCATCAAATGACATCACATAATTCTCATATTATTATTAAACCAACATTGGCAAGAAAGAATGTGATCTAAAATACTCCAAATATGTTTAAAACTTAAGACTAGCATTCAGTTATATTTTAATCTGGACTAAAATAACATAAATCAGTGCAGACAGTTAACAAAGGCACACACAGTGGAAGAGGTTGTGTATGAATTAAATGTATTTACTTCCTACTTTTTTAAAGCAGAGGGGATCAGTGGAAACTGATCATGTGTGACTACTTTTCAGTCGTGAAACGGGAAAGTCGTTCTTCCCTCTTTGACTGTAGAAACGGCTGCTGAGTCTGACTCCTTGTCATTGTTTTGGAGAAGGGAGGAGCTCGCTCCCTAACTGCTAGCTGGAAGCAGTAAACGTAAAGTGATTGATAATTTCATGTTGTCATCAGTTGCTACAGGGGTCTGAAAAGTTGCTTCGGTAAATATAGAAAAAAGTCGCTAAGTCGGAGCCAATGACAATAATTGTGTGGGGTTACGTTTTCACAGCGCCTCCCTCATGTAAATGTGCAAGAAAGGATGTAAATATGTTTAAAACAAGGTTTCCATTGCTGATAGACTCATTAAAAGTAAGCGGATTAACATTATTCCATTGTAACTCTAAAAGTTTCAGCACAACAAGTGGGGAGGAAGCCCAGATGTCAGTCAAAGGGGCGTTACACTCGTAACAAATTTGAGCATTGGCATAATTTTCAGTGTAACCATAACTTTTATTAGCTAAACGGCCTGTTAAGCTTAAATGTGCTGACGAAAACACTGATCCTTGTACAAAATAGCCTGTGACTGAATGCCCTCTGGACTCAGTGCAGGGGGTGGGGAAAAAAAAGGATCCTAACTAAATTAACTTCTCTGTTGGATAATGTCTCCCACCCCATGCATGAATTTGTTGCTGCACTGCACAGCTCCTTCAGCGACAGACTGCTGCACCCTAAATACACCAGGGAACGCTATCACAGATCCTTCCTCCCAGCAGCTGTCAGACTTTATAACCAGCACTGTTCCCAACAACCTCAATAAGTTTTTACATTCATGCTGATTTTGCAGTTTCTACCTTTGTCAGTTAAATAACATCCTGTTATTTTGCACATCTCTGTTTTTATCTTGTTAAAACACTTTACAGTACAGGATTTTATTGTTTATCTTTTGACTCTTCACTGTTATGTTATTCTTATACCTTTTTCTAAGGTCCACATTTGTGTGAACTATTTTTTTTATAATCTCTTCGCTGTTGTCAAGACCAGAATTTTCTATTCTAGGGATTTTCTATTCAATACAAAATAATAAAAAAAAATGTTAAAATTCTGCAAAGTTAAAATTCTTAAGAAAAATGTTAGATTAGCAATTTAGGATTATCTTAAGACACTCAAGTAACTTCAATTTAAAACCACAAATGACTTATGTCCAAAAGTTAAAGGTTTTTCTATAACTTCCTGATTTCTGTCTGTAGTCGTGCATCACTGGAGTTGTCTGGCACATTTTATATAGCTTAGATGTTGCATGTATTTCATATAGTCATTCATGAAAAGGTTAAATAAAAAGTCATGAACTGATAAGTCTTCAGCACGAGACACCGTGCTTGAATGTTTGACTTATGGAGCCAAGCATTTTATGAATTTCAAAGGTTTTTAACTCTTAAATTATGCAAACAGGAATTATTTACTGCATCAACTGTTTGTCTTTATAGTCTCTTTAGAAGTACGGTATCCTTTTTTTACTGAAAGGGTTTTCATAGTGATTTGCTTTATAGACCAATGTTAAAAACGGCTTCTTTCTACGTGCAGGTGCCTGCATGCCCACCTGCTGCATATTTCGATCATGCTCTGCTTTGGTAGCATCAAAATTCATGAACTAGTCATGTTAAAGGAATAGTACACCCAAAACATGATTAGCCTTCATTTTCTACTCACCCCTATGCTGAACAACACTCTGGAGTACTTTTTTGATATCTCAAATGCATCTGGAGATCTGGGATGCTTCTTGCTGTCTGCTGACATTCAAATAATGGAGGTCTATGGTGCCCGAGGCAGAAAGGTCCATAAAAGTCCACAAAAAACGTGTCAATATTCCTCCATACTGCTCGTCCAATGTATTCCAAGTGTCCTGAGTGGGTAGCGTCCATAATTTACTCGAAACGAAGTCATTTAGAATGTTTTTAGAGCATTAACAGTAGTGTATAGGATTTCCTGAAAGCGCGCGCGTGCGCGTTCACGACGCTACGGAAGCCGGCAGATCAAACCAGATGAAAGTGCGCATTTAGCGTCTGCTCTGCCAATAATGCAAGCGTAGAAGAAGAAATGTGCTGTTTACCTGTGCAAAGAAAGAAACAACGAAAGAAAAATGTCTGAGGACTTCAGTGTTGAGGAAGAGCATGAGTTCTTTGCCGAGCTGAGTGCGTACTTTCATCTGGTTTGGTCTGCCGCGGTTTCCGTAGCGTATGGAGGAATATTGACATATTGTTGGATGGATATTGTTTTGGGTGTAATATTCCTTTAATTTAAGTGATTGTGATTTAATCTGTAGTCGTTCACAGCCTCACCTGGGCTTATTAGCTTAATGCTTCACAATAATCTGATATCATTTTGATCTGTTGCCACATAAAAAAAAGTGACGGCGTCAATGCCAAACTACTTGATGTATTTTAAAATGCATGTTCCTGAATATTGTTTTTTTTTTTTCAGGGGGATGTAGTAGACAACATAGAAAAGAATGTATCTCAGTCAGTCGACCACATTATAGAGGCGAGGGAACAGACCAAAAAAGCTGTGAAGTACCAGGCCAAAGCTCGCAAGGTAATGTGTTTTGCAATCTATTACATGTGACCTGTTCCTGTTGCTTCTCTTATTTCTCTCTCTCTTTTTGCCATGTTTACCACATTTCATCCACTTTGCACAACCTGTATATCGCTCCTTTATTTCACCTCGCTGCCATAACTATTCATACATAACTGTTGCGATCGAGCGTATTCTCGCTGCATGTTTCTTTCTCTCTGCGGATCTGCTCATTTCCCTCTGTGCTTTGCTGCTGCGCCTGGCTCCGTCCCTGCCAGGGCGGGATGATCGACAGGATTGAGAGCAACATGGACCAATCGGTGGGCTTTGTGGAGCGAGCTGTAGCAGACACTAAGAAAGCTGCCAAGTTTCAGCAGGAGGCTCGCCGTGTGAGTGGCTCTGGATAAGAACTGAAGCCCGGTTTCCCAAAAGTAGTCGAGACATTTAGCTTATTAAAAAAAAAAGCATAAACTTAAAAAAAGAATAATAAAATCCATGTTAATATATGCAGTATGTTTAGATTTACCTGACAAAACCTGAGTAAACCAGAAGTGGGGAACTTCTAAACCTTAACTGTCATTAAGTTTTGTTTAAATGCATATTGAAATTGAGAAGCATCTGTTTATTAGAGCAGAAAAATATTTTAAACTTATTTTAGTCACGTATAATCTTTTTCAAAATAAACCTGGATGAGATTTACAGGTTTTACAGTCAAATCCTGATATTAATGAGCAAAACAGCTAAACACAGGAGCTCTGTGAGTTTCTTTGGTTGGATAATTCATTTACCTTAAAAAGCTTTTTTATTTATCCTTTACCTCTTAATTGTTTGAAATATTAAAATCTCTCTTGATTAAAAATCCACTGATCAGCTTCATGTTCTATATGCAGGTTTGATGTATTTCTTCAAAACTAAAGCAACAACTCTCACTAAAGAGATTGTATTTGATGAAATAAATAATGATAATAATAATAATTCAACTTTATTGATCTCACATTGGAGAAATTAACTCTGCATTTAACCCATCCCCTTGGGTAGCAGGGGGCTGCCATTTTGTGGCGCCTGGGGAGCAGTGTGGGGATAAGGGTTTTGCTCAGGAACCAAGAGTGCAGGCTATGGGGATCTAACCGGTTACCCGCAACCTTCCTAGAGCACAAGCGCACTGCTCCAACCACTAAACCAACACTGTTTTACTTCAAACAAAAAGCGACCCTGATTTGATAAACCCTGGAGTGAACATCTTGATGCTTTTGGGAAACCACATTAACTTCATGAAGATGATCTCCACTGTCGAGATCTGTGTGCCCGCCCCTCATTGATTTGTCCCCAACCCTGTCCCCTTTCCATCCCAGTTACAAACCGCTGCTGTTACCCACCCGCCACTGTTAAGCACAACCAAGATGAACCTCCTCCCACCCACTGAAACACACACTCACTCACTCTCACATTTTTCTCTTTTTTCTTTCTCCTGATTCTTTTTTGTTTACTTTGCTGATGTATTAAAACATGACTAAAAGCTTACCTCTTGCTGCTGAAAATATTGTTTAGCTGCTTTAGAATTTTTGTTGCTTAATAAAAACTTATTTGTGCAGATTTTTTTTTTTTTGCAGCTTCCAGCTATGTGGCATATTACCTTTTATTTTATCATTCCTCCTAAGATTTGGAGCTGACCAAACTGTATATACTGGGTTATTCTCAACAGAAAACTGTGATCATAGTGGTGGTTGTGGTGATCTTACTGGCAGTGATAGCTCTCATTATCGGGTTGTCAGTAGGACTGAAAAACTGAGGTGCTGTTTGACCAAGAGAAGAGCCTTCGGTGAGTAATTTTGGAGAAAATCTGCAGTTTATTGCTTAACAGTTGGGATTGAGGGAAGCTTCAAAGAGTTTTCTGTCTAACCTGGAAGCTCATTTGATGTGTGAGTGTGAAACATTTCTGGTCTGTCATTAATGCTCCTCTCATTTTGTCTCTTAATCCGTAGAAGATGATCGTCATCGGTGTATGCTGTGTTGTGTGTATCATCATCATAGTCCTCACTCAGACACTATAAAAGGACTGTGAATCACAACCTTTTCTTCATCAGCCCATCCAGTCATTTCAACATTCACTCCAAAAGCTTATGTAGGTTCTTCTATGTGGATCGGTGCTGCTCACCTGGTGTAAAAAAGGGAAGTTGATGACCTTTATTGATGAGTCAACCTGCTGAAGCTCTGATGAGGAAATAAGAGCTGAAGTGAGGCCCAGTACCTGAACTACACCTCTGTGGAACCAAAACCGAAAAAGGGAACTGCAAACTTAACTGTTTCATCACTCCACCATCACCAAACATTTCATTGTGTAACTTTTGATGCTGTCGTCGCACCTCTCTTTGTGTTTGTCTTACACTGTTCCTTAAACTTTGCAGAACCACCCCCCCCAGACCCAAACTATCGATCTAAATGAGCCTCGACACATCTTTACTTATTCTTAAAAGCTACTGATTGTCCACTTTTCCAGGTTGTTGATGGTTTTTAGGGAATTTCAGCACTTTCACTCATAAAAATATGAAATGAAGCTCAGATTTCTGTAATTATATTGTAAAAAAAAAACAAAACAGAAGTCATACTTATGCACTGTAGACAGTCAGTCTTGTGTCTTAATTTCTTGAAATTATTAATATTAAATATGAAGGATGATACATTTCAGAAGCATTCTATAGAAAAGACTGGAAAGTAGTTCATTATTTTAGAAAAAATGCCTTAAATTGAATCTTAAACCAGTTAACATGTTTAGACATGATATATACAAACCATTAATGTGCTGTAAAGGTACTACAAAGAGTTTGGGGAGGCTAGAATTAACACTAGTAAATATTTTTTATCTTAAAAGGGAGGCTTAAATCATAAGGTCTCTCTTATAGTTGTTTTATGTGTATTTACTGATTATGTTTCCTCTGTATATGTACAGCTAACCTGCCAGTTTAATTAAGTATCCCCATTTAAGTTCCTGTTAGAATGATGCGTAAAGAAAATATAATTTTCTTACAGACATTGTTTAAACGATATTTTGTTGTTAGAAAATGTACCAGAACCGCAGTTTTCAGTTCTGTTTATATATATTCAGATTTAGTTAGGATAAAAGTAAAATATTTGAGCTTTTTTATTTTATTCAAAATGTTATTTCTAATGAGGTGGACCTCATAAACTGGTAGCAAAGTTGAATTCATATGGTCATCTTTCTTTTTCTGTAGGTAGTGTCCAATACTGACGGTTTACAAAATATTGCGTGTAGGATTTGAGCATTTAGAGTAAGCGAAGATTACTGTTGTGTCTGTATATAAAGTTGAGATTTCATTTCGATAAGTCATTAATAGCCAAAGCCTTTTCTTTAAAAGATATTGCATATTTACACTTGCAGGGAAATACTTGAAATCAGCATCCAGCATGATTTTTGTGGCCACGCAGGTCGCAGAAGGATGGGGAAGAAAATGAATGAAACTTATTGCACATTTTTTCTTTTTTAATGTCAAATATTTCAAAAATAATTAAAGATTAGTTTTTTTAAAGCCTGAGTGTCTGTCTGGCTGTTTCTGCATCACAAATGTCAATGTAAAAAGGGTCGCAAAAGTTATCTTGCATATTTCACATTATAGATCAAGACTAAGGAAAGCATATGTAAGGTCAAAAGAAAAGGAGCACAGAATTTTAAAATTAAAAGCGGAAAAAGTGTGCATTGCATTCAGCTATATTTGTAAATACAAAATAGGACAATTTGTTGGAATTACAGCAGCAGTTTTTAGGGGCTATTTTTCTGTGCATATTCTATGCAATCTAAAAATGTCTGCACATTGTTCATTGTTATTTCATTCCTTAGTTTAGTTGGCTTTGACTAGGTCATTCTAATCAAGTGTTCTTTGCATTCCTTGAATGTTGCGAAGGGATTCATCCCGTTAACATCAGCTGTACTAAAAAAAGGCAGACAAGAGCTGGAAAGCCTGATCTAAACTATTCCCTCAGTGCTGTGGTGGTGGGTTTAAGAAAGATTTCTTTCAGACAAGCTCCGCCCCTTCTTTAATCTGGCAGTATCTAACATCCTTTTCAGAGTTACTTTGTGTGTTATTATCCATCATGATCAGGTAACAAAAGATTTGGAAATATTTTACTTTGACGCCACATTTCTTCATCTCTGTGTTGAACAACTTGATATTTCAATAAATTCCAACAAAGCCTGTTGCAGATAGTAAAAGAAATGTGAGTAGTTTAAGAAACTGCACATTTTTGATGACTTTTGAAGAGATGTGTGAAAGTGTTTGACATTAACTGCTGTTTTGCAAACGTACAGATTTTAAAGACTTGTTTTGCAGAAGAAGAGGTAAGATGCATCCCCTCTCCTATGTTACAAACACACACAAACACTTATTTCCCCTTTCCTCCATTATCCCCTCTGACCTACCTCCCTACATAAGCAAATATATTTTTTTTAACTTTCATGTATTTTACCTCTCTAGAAAAAGATGATGATCACATTGTGCTGTGCCATCATTGGGATCGTTGTCTTCTCCTATCTCTACAGTTTCTTCTCATAAGACATTTCGCACAGGTGAAACCTCACTCTGTAACCATTAAAACAATTTAAACATTTTAATGTTTAACCCCTCATGTTTTGTCTTTATGTATTTTCCCCCCTAGGAATAATGATGCATCCAGGAGATTTTTTTTTTTGTGTGTGTTGCTTACCCAGTTTTTCTTTTCTTTTCTTTTTTTTTTTTTTTTGACTAAATTAAAGCCTCTCTCAAATGAACAATAAAGAATGACATCTTTCCAAACCCTATTTCCCTTCCACCCTGTCTGATTTAAACCCGTGTTGCTGTATACAGTATCTCGAAACGTGTAATAAATGTGTGGATAATTCTCAGTCTGCCTCTTCTGGGACAGATGGTTGAACATGTGACCAGTAAACTGTAGTCCAGCGCCTCCTTGTGGTGCAATGCAGAAATGACCGCTTTGATTATTGTATTTGTGAATCAAATCAATGCAGTTTATGTATACAATACCAATTTATAACACACTTTGTCTCGTGCAAAAAATCCCTATATTTGCAACTGTTGTCTTATTACTAATTGTAATCCGGTCCAGTTGAAACGATGTTATTCATTATGATGCCCGTTCTGACCTAATTTCCTCCCCCATCGCACTGCAGCTCAGAAGCACCGCCCATCAGCTCCATTTAGATTGGGGTTCGCTCGTTTTGCTTTACTGGGTATGGATGATAAACTGGAAGCCTCAGGATTTGACTTCAATCAGAGATTTGTGCATGAGAAAAGTGTTGGTTTTTTATGTATCTGATACGGAAGAGGATTAGGGCCACTGAAACAATAAAAAAAAGTTAACTGATTTTAACATTTAATTTTAGTTTAATATGGGAAAAAAGCCAAAATTCTGAGAAAAAGTCTAAATTCAAAGAAAAAAGTCAGAATTCTGAGATTAAAGTCAGAAATCTGACTTTTTCCCCATAGTAAACTGAAATAACATTTTAAAATCAGTTAACTTTTTTTATTTTTTCAGTGGCCCTAATCCTCTTCCGTAATCTGAACTGCCTTTTTAATCTTTTTTTTTTTTTTTAGATATTTATATAAAACCCTGTTAAATGTGCAGAATTGCATAAAGTGTATTCATGGCGATATGTTTTACGATACTTCAATGTTGTGTTTGTTTCTTCCATTTGTGTAATAAATGTAATTTTGGTCATTTTAAATTTCATATCCTTTCCTTTATTAAACAAATTATTGGTGGCCTGTATGTTTTATTTATTTATTTATTTTTTTATATATAGTCTATTCAAATTTTGGTCATTTGGCCTCATTTAATAAATTGAAATACGGTTTTGATTGATCTTGTTTTTAAGAAAGGAAGTACCTTCTATTAACTTTACTTTTTATGTTATACACGAACCCTAAAGGTTGTGTTTCCCTTATCTGTAAGTGGGAAATCTTCAAAATAACCAGAAATAAATGCTTTCAAACAGCAGACTCTATTTATTCTACATGCTTAATTAACTAAATTACTGTTATTAAAACACTAACAATATTCTAATGGTGGTACAGTGATTGCCCTTTCTAAAGTATTTAAATCCCATTAACCTTTTCGTGTTCTACCAAACAGAATGTTTTAACAAAATACTAATACATGGTCAAAGAAAGTAAAGCAAAAGTATGAAGAGGAAGGAAAAATACAGAAATTTTTGACCTAAATGCTGGATGCTACACAAGGAAAAAAACAACTTACCTTAGAACAATTGCACATTGTGAAACATGGTGGTGGATGCATCATGCTGTAGGAATACTTTAGGTAGGATGGTAGGTAAGTAAAAGGACCTAAATGTTAGTCCAAAAATAAACCTTTTTCAGAGGCTGCCAAAGGTTGAGACCAGGATGGAGATCACCTTCTAAAAGCAAAACATTGTTAAACAGAGCTACAGTGACGTGGTTTAGATTAAAGCATTTTCATGAGTGAAAATGAACCACTTCAAGCTGAGACCTCTCAAAGTGTACTGTACTACCGCTATATATATATATATATATATATATATATATATATATATATATATATATATATATATATATATATATATTTAGATATGAAGAACTGATAAAAGGATAGGCTTTCTTGCTCTGTGGCTCTTTAAAGTCATACATGCCTTAAATTTATTTGTTAAAAAAAAAACAATAATGAGATGGACTTAGTTTTTTTTTTTTTTATCTTTCAAGTTAAGAGGTGCTTTGATTTACTTTATCGGATGGAATATATAGTTACGGATTTATTGAAAATTCCCTTTTCTCTACAGTCTAAAGAAACGCTTTAATGTTAAAAACTTGTACTTTTTTTGGAAATATGGTAAATTTTTCTTTAACAAAATATACAAAAAGTTTGTCCTTAATCTTCATATTAGAGTGGCATTTAGCTAAAAACCTTTAGTTTTGTATTTAATCCTTAAATGACCAGAATATGCACGAGTTGTAATAAAACAACAGCAACCTACACGTCTATTGGTGAACAAATAAAACATGCTTTTAGTTAATATATAGTTTTTCTG